TGAAGAAACACAATGCTCTAAGGATGGAACCACCATCTTTGAGCCCTGATATTAAACTTACTAATCAACTGTGACATGAATTGGAGTGTGCAATGCAAAGGAGAACCAACCCCATAAAAACGTGGACCAACTCCCCCAACTTGTTTAAAAAGAATGGGACAATATTCCACAAAACAGAATTGTTACCCGCGTTGAAGGCTTGTCGCGCCGTCTACAGGGGATAATTGCAGTACGCGGTAGACGCACACGCTGTTAGGCACGTGACCTTTAACGAGCACACCCTAATGCTAATTGTCTGTGAATTTGGGGACATTTGATGGCGTCTTTTCAATTTTATAGACATTTCTTTACATCTGTAGAAGTCACAGTGAAACAGTGGATTTGAGGGGGTACCTCTTATAAATTTGACTAAATGGTATAAAATATGTATATTTTTACCTCTATTTTGTATTTCTTAAACCATTAATCATGTTAGACACGGTATCTGTAATAAAAAAGCACTATTTCTAACAATTTACAGCTGTGAGGTGATCATTTGTAAATAAAAGTACATGGAAATGGGGGTGGGACAACCTTTTTGACCAATGCTGTATTGTGAATCAAGCTAGCTATGTCTATTTTCCAAGTCACAGTGAAGACTGAGAAACCAGATTTAGACTTTAAACCCTTCCGAAAGCCTTTTGCCATGAACAATACAAAAAACGGAAAGGCAGCGGCATGCTAAGGGAAGGCAGAGTGCGGACAGTCTCGCACCAAATAGTAAAGTGGGCAAAACAACAAAATACGAGATCCAACCAACTTATTAAAGTAAATAATATTTTTAAATAAAAGACAAAAAAGTACCTTAATTTTAATCCTGCCCTTTTGTGATATTAATAGAGAGCTAACCATGCAGCAATTCCAAGTGGGCAAACGGGCACTTACAGGGCGGACTTTCTGTCACAAGGACCCTCAGTTTCATAACATCGGTTTTAATTGTCTCATTCGGACATGATGGTTCTCGTTTACAGAAGAAAGGGTGAGCATGACCGATTTGGTATGTTAAGTGTTAAGGTTTGGGTGGGCACAAGTGGCACTTCCAAGGCAGAACTCGTGATTGATGGAAATCTGAAGAGTGGAGAAGGATGCCCCAGGTCCGCATTCCAGGTGTGGTACATGCAGGGGCGGATCTAAGATTATTTGAAGGGGGTCCGCAGTTCGGTGTTCGGTGTAGAGCCCCGGATTTTTTTTATTATATTTTAAAGGGCGAACGGTGCCAATTTGTACGGTTTAGAAATATTATAGTCTAAATTCTAATTTCAAGAGGGGACCATTGGTGTGATTTTTTTCAGAAATCGAGGAGGGGTGGTGTCAGGACCCCCCTGACCCCCCCCCCCTAAATCAGCCACTGGGTACATGTTTGGTCCATGAGGAGGAGGGTACTAGTCTGTATTACAGCCAGGGGAAGACACACATGTAACTGAACAATATAATACTACTTCTATAACAATATTGTATAAGCAGTATATTAAAACCATAAATATTTAAAAAATTCTTAATTTTGCCAATATATATCGGGGCACAGGTTCGGTGTTGTAACTACATGTAGTACTATAATCAAGGTGAGTTGGGGACAGTGGAGTATTGTTTTAGGTAATCTGCCAAAGCATTAAACCTGTATTGACCTGTTATAATTGATAAGATAAAACCTAAATTCAAGATTAGTTGGAGAGGGAGGAGTATTATATCATGCAGTCTGGAAACCCAGATATCGATGCGGTCACAGCACGTGGGGCGGTGGGCGATCATTCCTTGCTGTGAGCAGAGTATTGTAACCAGTGACACTGCGCTATCTGGGAACTTTTTACGACCATTGGCCATTATAATATATATGGGCCATTCCGTGGTATTTTTTTGCCCTTACGGAAGGACATTTGACACTTCAAAGGAAAATATTTTAAAAAGTAGAAAAGTTAGAAGGTCAATTTTTTGTATGTTTATTCCTCTATAAGTAAGTTATAATTAGGCAAAAAATTAGGCTTAAAAAATTATAGTTACGAAAAAATTATAATAAATAGTTAGCGTCTCGGAAGGTTGTGAAATGCACATGGAATTTCAAATTCAACAACAAAATTCTGCTCTGTCTGTGGAGATGATATTAAAGTCAAATCAAAATATGAATATTTGATTATTTCACTTTCTCAATATATAAAATCAGTTTTTGGAAAAAATAAATTTAAATATTTTGCATATAAAAAAATCAAGTAGGCGTCACGGAAGAACGCTTCTCGGAAGGACATTTGTCCACTGCTAAATAAAATGTAAAACAAGGCTAATAATAATATTTTATGAATACATACCATCATACAGAGAGTCACCCATGATAGAGCGTCCGCTTCCCATTCATTTGTAAAGGTAAGCCTCGCCCTAGATTTTGACCCACTTAGATCAGGCTAACCCTAACCATTATAGTTAAGTGGAGGGCGAACTCTATGTTACACGGACACTCAGTTTCGTTACACTGGCTTCTTACTTTGCTACAGCCCCATCCCGAAACCAGCCAAATTGAAGTATCAGCTTTGACTGGGTTCCCATGCCTAGATCGATCCATCTGGATGGGTCTATCTCCCTGGGAAATCTCACTAAATTGTTATTAACTAACCGGCTTTAATGTCTCTCACGCCTACCGAATCAGCTAGGGGGTAAAGATAATTACCCCCTAACAACTTTACTAAGCGTGACAGACATTTGATAGCAATTTAGTGAGACTCCCCAGGGAGATAGATCGATCCAAATATCTGTGGAAATGGTCCCTTATACAGAATCCCCCTGCATTAACAAAAGTTTGTGCATGCACGTACCATACAAACTTTATCATATCTTAAAATAACAAATGCTGCGCTTGTGTCACATTTTGAAGTACAATCTCACTGCAGTGGATGTATAGACTCCTTGTTTACTAAAACACTGCCCAGACGGCCATTTAGAGGTACTCTATACCGGGGATGTGAATAAAATAGGTTAAAAGTATATGGATGTATGGTTATATGTGTGAACTGTTAGTATGCTATATATATATATCATGTGATAACAAATATGTTAAAATTCGATGTGGAATAAAAGTACTTTCACCATCGTGTGATTCAGTATTATGTGACAGTTAATGTGTTACCCCACCTTTATAATAACGATGTTGCTGGAGTCATAACAATAGAACTGTAACTTTCCATATATCTCGGATTTGACAGCCATAAATTTATGTGCTCCATTACTACTCGTTTTTTTAAAGATAAGCTTATCTATCGGGGCCATTGAATAGGCAGTCAATCAATCAAGGTGTAATAGTTATAACTGATAAAGGCTGTACTAGAGGAGCCATATTGGCAAAGTGGGTTTATTTCACTCAGGGAGTTAAAGGTAAGGATCGAGCGCCTTTAAAACAAAAGATACCAGAATATGGTGTAATAGGAGTGCCGGGGAAGGTAAGCGGTCGTACGGAAATCTACCGGTGCTTACCAACCACGGATGACATTAACTGGGACTGGCAGTGACACAGCCAAGGACCTGTATGTGTGTACATGATTTATATACCACAAATAACCGTAAAAATAAGAGGCCAAGTCGATGCAGGGACTGAACGGTAAACACAAAATGGGGGGGGGGGGATGTGTGTTGGACAGTGGGTGGCTGGAGGAAATTGAAGGTTCAAGACAACGATGCCAGTTACACGGTCGCGCAAAGGAGACGCAGAAAGGACGCCGTCCAGTGTAAAGGGGGCTTAAGCGAAACACAAGTGAAAATAATTGACGAAGTTGATGCAGGGACTCAGCGGTAGACACGGGATGGGGATGGAGTGGGGGGGGGGCTAGTCAGTGGACATGTGGGGTGTACAACAGGTGGCTGGAGGAAATGAAGGCTCCAAGACAACAGGTGTATCAATTTTAAAACATAATGGCGGATTCAGAATCAATTAATATACGGAAATTATGCAATTTAGGGTTTTCATTGCATTGAAAATACATGGTCATATTACTCTCGGACATGAGCATACACTGAACAGGGCGGGTGCCATATCATCAAAACTACGATGAATGCAAAGATAACATAGAGGTCTACATAGGGGTAGCTCAGCTGATTGCACACCTCGGGTAGAGGTAACAATTAGGCAGACCAAACACATTAAAGGACATTCTAGAATTACTAACAGTGTAGTTCTCATCGACTAGGCTTATTACAGGCACAGTTATTCAGGCCATTGTTTTTTTTTAATATCGGAAATGACACATGCTGCCTGTACAATCATCATCTTCAGTTGTCTAGCTCACATATTTCACGAACTGTTACCTGTGGGATATGTGAACAGGAAGTGGGGAGAGAGAGAAAAAACGCATGTTTAGTCACAACACGGGTCGATCATTGTTTGAACGTGTAGCCTCGATGGTTATTCTTTTATGTCGCATACAATGCTTGTGAATGACTTCACCCGCAGCTGGGGTTTTAACAATAGGATATTATTGCGCCTGTGCACAAATGTATTTCTGTCGGAATGCGCTGAAGCTCGAAAGTGTAATATATGTACAGGGGCGTAACCAGGCATACGCACGGATGCACTGTGCGTACAATTTTTTGAGCCAACCATGATATTATTCTCCATAAATTCAGTGTATTTTTCACGGAATATAATCGTACCTGGGAATTTTCAAAATCTGTGCATACAATTTTAAAAGGTCTGGTTATGCCCCTGTATGTAATTGTTGGAAGTGTCGCCGTGGTCTAGGTAGGTTTATGAGGGATAGATACCCTTTCTTATCAGACACGTCTTTTGCAGACAGGTTAAGAGACGCATGCAGTGTTTATAGCATTCAATAAACCTCCTGGACCTTTAGGCCGACCAAGCTGTGCTAAGATTTCTGTCCGTCGATAACTGAACATGAAAATCCCCTCAGAGTTACTCCGAATACTGTCAGTTGCTGTGTTTGTCGCTATCATAGAGCGCAAATTAAATGTCTTACTCCCAAACAGGACGTCAGGTACGCTATCCGCCATGTTTTCTGGCTCCACGTGAAAGTCGGGGGCGTTCATTCCTCACCTAGCGACAGAATGGGCTAAAGAAAGAATGCGCTGAAGCATCAGGTAAATTCTTTTCACTCACAGCATGTAGATTTTGAGGAGACTTGTAGTGTGAATTCTTGTTATCTTTGGAATAATAGGTTGCAGTTTATGGTACCGGTAGACGCTTTTCGGCTTATTGTGATGTTATTTATAATTTGTCAACAGGAGATCAAGTGGTTTGAAAATAGCGGTAGACCTTAGGTTTTTTAATTACATGTAGCGTTAGGTTAACATGATTTAGTGCACGTGTGTGTGTGTGTGTGTGTGTGCGTGTGTGTGTGAGTATGTGTGTGTGCGTGCGCGCGCGCGCGTGTGTGTGTGTGTCTGTGTGAGTGTGTGTGTGAGAGAGAGAGAGAAGTTAGCATCACTAGAAAACACAATATAATTTATTATTACCAGTAATAATTATCCTGCAGATATTTTAAGTACCAGCATTAAAATAAGTAGACAATATGAAGTTCAGATGAAATATGGAAGGATTATTTAATGCTTACACGTGTGTGTGTGTGTGTGTGTGTGTGTGTGTGTGTGTGTGAAACTTTATCATCAGTAGTAACCATATACATAGGCAGATACTAGTATAACACAATATAAGATGGATTATTAATATTCATATGTGGAAGTTTAAAATATTTCTTTTGAATATAGTAGAATGCACAAGGAACATTATATTTGTTCAAATTAAAAAAAAAATTAGAAAATCAAAAATAAACAATTACCTGAATAACTGTTATAATAATAAAATAGAAAGGTAACATAATTTTTTACTTTCAGATGAGTATATCCCGAACCTTTCCCAGGCCTAATTCAGTGGGATTTGTATAATGTAGTTGGACATCATCGTCAAGAAGGATTTATATAAAAGCCTGTCATCTTTTTTGATAGTTGGACATCTTCGTCAAGAAAGAAAAGACTGTCACCAATTTGGATAGTTGGACATCTTCGTCAAGAAAGATTAATATAAAAGCCGGTCACATATTTCGATAGTTGGATATCATCGTCTAGACGGATGTATGTAAAAGTCTGTCATCTACTGGATAAAGGATATTTGAGAAGATTATCAATTCACTCTATAGTTTAAGTTTATCAAACGTGATGACTTCCATTTGTTAGTCATTGCAAATCATAGCATATCATGTCTATAAAAAGAATATCCCTTTACAAAGAGGAACAACAAACAACTGAGGCATTTGCGGCATTCATCGTACTGGTACTTATGTAGATCTTCTGTCCAGCCATGACAATTAATGTGAAGAAAGTATTACAAAACGGCTTGGTAACAATCATCGTATCCGCACTCCTCTTTGGTATGCTTATGTTAACAGAAACCTATAAAACCGTAACTATTTCAAAGTTTATTTTACCACAGCCAATCTACGGAAAGCATGACAAGAACGGATTTCAAAAAAGTCCAACGTTTTTAGAGAACAAAACAAAGATTTCAGAGGCACCAAAGGATGCTAAACTTATTTTATATTGGATTCCCAGTTCTTCTGGTTTTGACTACTTCGGGTTGAAAAGATATCACACCTCATTCGAAGGTTTGAAGTGCCCCGTGGGTAACTGTAAGGTGACGGAGGATAAGAGTGCTGCCTACGATGCCGATGCCATCATTTTCATGGGTAGAGCATTAGGTAAAAAACCAGAAAAACGGAACCCCAAAACGCGCTGGATATGGACCAATCACGAGAGTCCATGTCACACGTACTTATCCAATGATTGGACGTTCAACTGGACGATGACTTACAGGATGGACAGTGACATCTACAGTCCATACGGATTTCCCCTCCTTGACAAAAACCACGATGAAGCCAAGAAAAGGGACTTTCTGTCAGTTGCCAGAAGCAAAACTAAATTAGCGGCCTGGGCAGTCAGCAATTGTAATGCTCCAAGTCAACGTATGGAATATGTGAAGGAATTACAGAAATATATGAGCGTGGACATTTATGGGGGTTGCGGGCCATTTAAATGTGGACGCGACAGGGAAGCTAAATGTGATGATATGTTTAACAAAACGTACAAATTTTATTTGTCTTTTGAAAATAGTTTTGCTACGGATTATGTCACAGAAAAATTATATAAAATCCTCCCATTGGACGTTATCCCGGTCACACGTTCAGGTGCCAACTACACGCGTCTTGGCATCCCTCCGTCCTGGCACATAGACACACACGACTTTAAGTCTCCCAAAGAGCTGGCACACAGACTGAAAGAGCTAGATAAAGACGACGTTGAATATGCCAAGTTGTTGCAATCAAAGGCTGGTATCCAAGTCTCTTATTGGATTCGTGCTTATTGTAATATTTGTGCCAAGCTTCACTCTCCAACGGAACCAGTGAAATCTTACAGCGCCCAGGATATACGTAGTTGGTACGGTACATGCAAACCCCCTGATGATCTGCGGTTTATGACTCGAAGCAGGCGGAGTATAGAAGATAACTTCATTATGTGAGGAACGGACGTTTTATCGGCTAAAAGTATAGTACGTCTTGTCGTTATAAAACACACACTTCAAGGAATGTTCAGAAAACAGCAAGTAGTTTGCTACAATGTAACCATTTTAAGAGCAGTTTGTTACGGAGTAACCATTTTATGTGCGGTTTGTTACAAAGTAATCATTTTAAGAAGAGTTTGTTACAAAGTTATCATTTTACGTGCGGTTTGTTACAAAGTAATCATTTAAAGAGCGGTTTGTTACAAAGTAATTATTTTAAGAGCAGTTTGTTACAAAGTAATCATTTTAAGAGCAGTTTGTTACAAAGTTATCATTTTAAGAGCAGTTTGTTACAAAATGATCAAATTACGAGCAGTTTGTTACAAAGTAATCATTTTACCTGCGGTTTGTTACAAAGTAATTATTTTAAGAGCAGTCTGTTACAAAATAATCAAATTACGAGCAGTTTGTTACAAAGTAATCATTTTACCTGCGGTTTGTTACAAAGTAATCATTTTACGTGCGGTTTGTTACAAAGTAATTATTTTAAGAGCAGTTAGTTACAAAGTTATCATTTTAAGAGCAGTTTGTTACAAAATAATCAAATTACGAGCAGTTTGTTACAAAGTATTCATTTTACGTGCAGTTTGTTACAAAGTAATTATTTTAAGAGCAGTTTGTTACAAAATAATCTAATTACGAGCAGTTTGTTACAAAGTGATCATTTTACCTGCGGTTTGTTACAAAGTGATCATTTTACCTGCGGTTTGTTACAAAGTAATCATTTTACGTGCAGTTTGTTACAAAAGTAATCAAATTGCGAGCAGTTTGTTACAAAGTATTCATTTTACGTGCGGTTTGTTACAAAGTAATCATTTCAAGAGCAGATTGTTACAAAGTAATCATTTAACATGCAGTTTGTTACAAAGTAATCATTTTAAGAGCAGTTTGTTACAAAGGAATCATTTTAAGAAGAGTTTGTTGCAAAGTATTCATTTTTCGTGCGGTTTGTTACAAAGTAATTATTTTAAGAGCAGTTTGTTACAAAGTTATCATTTTAAGAGCAGTCTGTTACAAAATAATTAAATTACGAGCAGTTTGTTACAAAGTATTCATTTTACGTGCGGTTTGTTTCAAAGTAATTATTTTAAGAGCAGTCTGTTACAAAATTATCAAATTACGAGCAGTCTGTTACAAAGTAATCATTTTACGAGCAGTTTGTTACAAAGTAATTATAACACGAGCAGTTTGTTATGAAATAACCATATTACGAGCGGTTTGTTACATACTAACTACATAACGTCAGTGTTGGAGAGACATGTGAGTGAAGAAGCAGGGGCCTGTTTCACGAAGCAGTCGTTAGTTAGCGAACGGTCGTTAGCCTTTTCTTATAGTGAGGAATAACGACAACAGTCTGGAGCTTTCGAACGTTTATTCACCGACTCCCGCTTCATACAACTTCACAAATATTTATACTCAATTTCTCCGTACTGATCACGCATTTACTTGTTTTCTTTTCCATTGTCTTTGCGTGATTACAAAATATTTTCCATTCGCATGTTGCAAGTCACCATGCAACATTTCCTTATTAGGTAATCCCCAAGAGACTTGTTTTCAATTAAAGATAACTCAAATATTATTTGGATTACTCATACTTGGACCTTATCCAAAACTCAGTTATCATGTGATAAATAGATGATCAAAATTAAAATATGTTATGAAATTAACCAATCACATTAACTGTTACTGACTTTGACCTTTTCCATCTTTTTCTGACACTAAAAACATGTTCTACACTTGTTGACTCTTGGAGAAACTTAACTTACACTCAATAACTCTTTGTCCCTTTTACTCTTTTGATTCCGCTTTAATTGTTATCTGTAATTAGTGAAAGTGTAAGTTATTTGCTTTACAACACTCTCGCTAGTTATGAGTGCCGTTTCACGAAGCTATCGCTAGTTCTCTCGCTCGTTATTGTGTCGTTGTTACCATGGATATTTAACGACTGGTCAGACCAGTCGCTAACTTCAGAGTTATATCGTACGCATGCGTAATAAATGAAACAGAAAGGTTGCTTAGTCACCGTTTTCTGTCGTTTGTATGCCATGCAGCGTTTGCCTTTCTTGCCTTCGTGCCGGAAGACGGCAACGCAGACATCACGTTTTCTTCAGAGGCAAAATTTATTATAACATATGAGCGATGATGCAATTTAAGAAAGGTCTTACTTGTCTGTTGTGATGGGAAAAACGGTGGAGAGGGCAGTGGAGATCCTTTACGACAACCTCAAACCAGACGTTCATTTGCTATTTCAACCGCCAACCGTTACAGAGTTACAACATTTATGACACTTCTTACGAAAGAGTCCCACTTCAGGCAGACTGTTTACGGTGAGTAACAAGAAAACTAGGAACCGAACTTAACAACAGAACTTAGCGATGGGTTAACGAAAGCTTCGTGAAACACCACACGAAAATCGCTAACTTTTCTCGTTAGCGAGATAGTTCTGTCGTTAGTTATTCTAACTAAAACCCCCGTCACACTTAATCGGAATCAGCAGGAATCAAGAAGAATGAGGCTGAATGAAGAAGTTTAAAAATTCGCACCACATTCGGGAAAAAAGTTCAAATTGATCTTAATTCTTGTAAGAGTATCGTTGGAATACTCAGAATGCGCTTGAATTCGCCTGGGATGATAAGTGCACTTTCGGCTGTATTAGCTCTCAAATGCAGAATGCAGTGAGAATATTTAAAATGCAGTCATAGTGTAGTTAGAATACTATTCAAATTCCATTCAATAATTTTCCGCTTGGAATGCACTTCGAAAGTTTTTAACATTCGGGCCGACCACAATAATGGGTAAAAATATTTGAAATGCACTCGGAATTTTTAGAATGCTCTTTGAATATCCAGGAATGCACAAATAATTGTCTTTCCGACGGCATTCTTGCTCATTCTGCCTCTAGTGTGACAGCTTCATGAAACGGGCCCCAGGACATCTGAAGGACCATTCCCAGACCCTATTGTGCTAACTGTGTATCAATCTATCTCCAAGGGGATTCTCACTAAATGGTAAGCAACTTAAGCGGCTTTGATGTCTGTCACGCTTCTAGGGGTAACTAATTATCGTTTAGCAGCTTCAGTATGCGTGTCAGACATCTAAGCTTACGCTTAAGCTTAAGCTGAAAGTGATTTAGCGAGAAACTCCTCGGAGATGGATCGACCCTGTTAGATCGATTTAGGTATGGGAACCACACACACCAAGGCATGTTCAGAAAGCAGCGAGCAGTTTGTTACAATTTAACCATATTAAGAGCAGTTCGTTACAAGGTAATCAAATTACGAGAAGTTTCTTACAAAGTAATCAAATTACGAGCGGTTTGTTACAAAGTAATCATTTTAAATCTCAGGGACAAAATATGGCTTTGGTTTCCTGTCAGGTTTAGAAAACACAAGGAGAAGAAATTCGCCGACCCGGTGTAATGGAACAGAGGGTGTGTGTTGCAGAAAACCCGCCCTCCATTTAGTAAAAACGGTTAGGGTTAGACTGGGTTCCCATACCTAGATCGATCTAACAGGATTGAGCCATCCCCAAGGGATATCTCGCTAAATTGCTTTCAGTTAAAGCTGCTTAGATGACTGCCTCGCTTACCGAAGCTGCAAAACGATAATTAATTACTCCCTAGCAGATTCAGTAGGCATGGCAGAGATGTAACCAGCTTTTGTTGATTGCAATTTAGCGAGAATTCCCTTGGAGATAGATAGATCCACAGTCATTACGACAGGGTCTCGGAATGGCCTGACCTAATTAGTGGGTCAAAATCTAGGGCGAGGTTTCCTGTAAAAATAAATGGACAGCGGACTCTCATATAAGTGTTGTAATCGTTGCTATCACTAATTGGTCCTATTTAACTTTTAAGATAAAACTTTCGTGTAATGTTAAGATAATTTGCGACCACTACATTGGATATAAAACCAGGCAACAGCCTGGAAATAATCAGAGTATATTTTTTATAATGAAGCTGTGGTGTTGTTACTTTTCTCTCCGGGCATAACCCAAGTCGGGGAATACTGTACCGAACCATAAAATTTCAGTAGACGGATTAGAGCTCTTTGAGTAAAATATACCCCGCGGTATCTTTAAGAACTCAATACAAAAAGGGCGTAATAAAGTGAGATTTAGTTATTAGTAATTGCTACACGAAAGTTAAATAGGACCAATTAAAGTTACAATACCAATATGAGCCGCGTGCCCATGGCCGGGACTCAATTAAAATCAATTAATATTTTATCAGAAATTTTCTGCGATCTGCACACGGGGGACACTCTGTCACGTTACACCAGTGTAAAAGGAATGGTAGTCCTAGTAACGCAAGTATTTGTAACTAGTTTAACCTACGGCTTGGGCTTCGAAAACTAAGATGAACGCAAGCGAGCTACGAGTGAAAAATTTTATCCTTTTGTTCCAAGCGCAGGTGACAGGAATGGGAAACAACTTACCACAGTCCAGTCACACTTAGAAAAAGACTTTGCTAACAGCCTAAGTGAATTTTATGTGACCAAAATTGCACATTTGAAGATGNCTACGGTTTGGCTGCTACAAATAAACAAAAACAACCTGTTCCCACCAGAAAGAGGGGCAAATTCGCCTCACAAAATGTTTTTCAATGCCTTTTGTAAACGTCAGACTGGTTTGAGGAGGTTAATATATCAGGTATATTTTCGCAATGGGAACCATTTAACGTTTCTGGGCACAGCACTGGCAATATTCAGCTTTAACATATGAGGTCAAATTTTATCTTGGGGCGGTGGGAATTTTGGATTTGGGGTCCAATTCTCGTTGGTGCCAAATCTTCATTTGTAGTCACCGTTAGAGACCTGAACCAGAACAAATACAGAGAGATTTTGGAACCAGCTGCCCCCCCCCCCCTCCAGCATTTGCTAATGTACACCTTAGGTACAATTGCAAATTACAAGATGAAAATGTCCGTCCACGCATAGCAACTGTATTTGCAGATTACT